TGGGGCGAAGGGAACGTGGGGCTTCTGGAACCAGAAAGGGGAAGGCGACAGGGGCGCGAAAGAAAGTTTTCTTAAGCTCGAACTTTTGTAGCACTGGCTCCTGCGCCGCCAGGAAGGGAAGCGGATATAATAAAATATAATAGAATAATATTATAGGGGTTGCTTAACATTGTTAAAATTTTAGTCACAATATTCAAAATATCACAATATTTTTAGAATTGGATTGTTTCAAATCAAAGGATGTGCAAGATATCAGTCCAGAAAACTTCAACGGATTTGTTTTTCCAACCAGCATATGCAATCGCTCCGACATAGTTATTCGCGTTGCTGTCTTGCCTTACCAAGCACTTCGGTTTGTCTTGCCCTTTATGCACTTGCATAAACAGACTGCCTCTAAGCAGCCCTCAAAAAGCTTACCAGTGAATGGTTTCTACTGTTATCATTTGGGCTAAGTTGTTTTGCTTTTGTTCCTCGCAAAAACTGGAATAAGTGCGCAATACGTACAAATCATATTTCAGGTTACAAAAGGTTACAAAATTAGTGGCATCCCCCTAGCATCAGCACCAAACTGAATAAAAAGCTATGCCTCTACGTAAATGTATAGCATGTGCGGCCATAACTTTCTTCATTTGCGCTCATACTTCGCATTTAGTTACCTCAAAATTCAACTAGCAAAACTGTCGTCTAATCATTATTTAATCAGTTCATGTTTACTGACACAGGTATTGATAGCTACTCACATGCTCCATTTGGCCTATGTTTACAGCAAAGGAATGAAACAAAGACTGCTGCTTAACATTTTTTGGCGAAAGATATTTGGATGGGTCCCTTATTTCCTATCCTAATATCTCTTCTAACGATAACTGGCCTTATAAGACGAGCGTAGGCTTTATAAGATCTTGAAATCATAATGTGTGCCGATTTTTACAACAAAAACACTGAGAAATTTACGCGAAATACAAAACTTGTAGCTATTTTTGTTGTATTACAGAGGTCTGAAATATTCGAAAGACAGAGGGGAAGCGTTCAGAGAGATCTTCAAATGGCCAGAAGGGGTAAGCATAGAGTTATCTTTTCTATTTCGATGCATCAAGGTTTAAATATTGGGGTCACTTCTGCGTCTTCCGTGGAAGCGCTGAGGCAGAGGATGTTGCGAATTTTTGAGCAACGACTTCCGTATTTTCTTAGAAAGATGCCGTCGACAAAGCCTACATCCTAGAGAAAAAGTGTCTGTTACTTTAATTCTACTCCAATTAACTGTCATTTCATTTGGACATGCCTAGGCGTAATCGATGCAGCTGGCAGTCTTCCACAATTGCTGTATCAAAGTTGAAGGACGGCTAGATAATTTTCTGGTGGTCTTGAGGGTCATTTCTTGGCCCTCATTGTTGCTTTTCAAAGTAATAGATCTCACTTGACCTGCAACACATCCAAAATATATAACGACGTATTATTTGGGACGTGAGATGCTCCATTAGCTTTGATGGCCTACAGCTTGTAAATTTAAAAGAGAAAACAGGAGTTGTATTTTGCAGGTAGTTTCCGCCCGGTGAATGTAGTATCATGGAAACCTAAACGACTATTTGTATGGGCTCAGGAACATTTTGCTTTATGAGTAATGGAGATGAGAGACATAAAGTGGTGATAGGCAGTTCAGGCCTAGATGGCTCTGGCACGGCTTTACAACTTGTCCCGCTACATCTCTATATTGCCAAGGAATTCACGCCAAGTGACAGATCGGCAGAGTTGTTTTAAGTGCGACTGAATTCAGCAAAACGACTGTGCTTTCATCGATAGTAAATTTGCAGGTACCTGTGGAAGGTGGAATTGTAATTAGCAGCAATGGCAATCCAAAACCACCACTCTGGCGTGCAATGTCCGAATTCATGCCGCCTATGGAAGACTACTCGTATTACCCACCTCAAAGCAATCAGACTGATAAGTAAGCTGCCATTTATGCAATAAAATTTCGGTTCTTCAAATTACAGGAATTGCTATTCACTCAGCAGCAAAGCTCTTCTATCGCATACACTGCGTATTCGTACAGATCAGGTAATCTTCGTACTAGTTCGCACAGCACCAGATGGTACCCGCAGGGCAGATCTACTCAAGGAGAGGATCAGCGATAAGGAGAAACAACTGAAACATGCATCACAAGTGACATCTTGGATCATCGTTGT